ATGGCCTTGCTGAGTTCCAGCCAATGGCATATATGAGTGGAAGTGAAGTGGCCATTCTCAGATCTGGCCCATAAAAACCTCCTGGGAAATTCTCAGGGCCCTTCTCCATTCTGTCTTGATACTGATGAGCACAGAGACGTTAGAAGCCATGATTTAAAATGGTACATCCACGAGATGGAAGGGGCCTCAGTTCCAAATTACTGCTCAGGGTCCCCTTTAGGAACTTATTTGAGCAAGAAAGAAACGTCCTTTTGATATAATGGCTAACACTGCCCTAAGTAATACACAAACCTACCACCTGCCCCAACCACACACAAAGCTACCTCTGCCTTACTTATCCTGGAGCGTACAGGAAGGGAGGGGTGTATTTTACATCTCTCAATCCTGATCATTTTTCTAAGTGGCAACATAATGCTCAGTTTTAAAGGGTCCCCAGGCTCCACTGAGGCCAAGTGCCCTGGCCCGTGGCTGAGGAGCACCTGCCCATGCTTCCATCTTAACCCAGTGTGGAGGACTTCGAACCCGGAGAAGCAGGAGCCAGCAAGACTCCAGAACCAAGAAAGAGTGAAGTCAAACAGAATTATAAACACTTAGAGGTAAAGTTACTTTGAGGTATTTTTGTTGGGCCTTTCTTTCTCTTTTCACAGACAAGCAGACACAGGCTCAATCATTTGAGTTATTCTTCTCATCAATTTGGTGACAGAGCTATGATTAGAAGTCAGGTGTCCTGCTATCATTTATAAATGATAGCACACACGATGGTTTTAGCAGGCAGTTAAATATGACACTTCTTTAATGTCTCACGGTTTGTCTTGAAAGTTCATGCAAATTTGCCAGTCTACATCATAATATTTTCTCAATTGTTTTAACGTAAATAAGAAAGTTTTAAATTGCTTGTCATAAAATGAAGAGGACTCTCCAGGAAGATGCATCATGTTTCCCTATCTCCCCGGCACCCTGCCACTTGCCCTGGGCACGCACATCTCCCAGTTTGAAAGACACAGCTTGATCATGGATAAAAAAATTATTTTAGTACTAGGAACCGTTCTATGGGCCTCTTCTATGATCTATGGCCTGTCGTCCCCACATCCAGCCCCAATCCTGGCGCATGAAGCACTAGCAGGTGGATCTGCCAAACTCCTACTCATCCCTCCAGGTTCAGGTCCGACATCACCCAAGGAGCCTCCTGTGACCCTTCCGAGTCTAGTTGTTCCCTTCCCTGGCCACCGCACTCTAGCCCCTGGACATGCTAATATCTAGCGCTTACCACGCCACTCTGCAACCTGTTTGCACGTTCGGCCCCTCCAGAAAGTGCAGCACATAAGCACACTCGGTTATGTTTGTTAAGTGAGTGGCCCTGGATGGCGGCTGTGGATTGCGGGGCCACGGCTCACCCTGCTCCCAGCCCCTCCCCGCCCGGCTGTGAGAGAGGGCAGGACACCAGCGCGCACTTACTGGCTGGGGGAGGGGCTCCGGAGGTAGTGGGCCTGCACCGCCCTCACGTCGTCGCCTTCATCCTCCTCGCCTGGGACCACCTGCTCCTCCTCTGGGTCCCCACTGGTCGCCATGACAGCCTGCCAGCCGCTGTAAGTTTGGCAAGAAAAAGGCAGTCAGAGAATCAGGTTCTAGAGGTTTCTATTGGGGGGTGGGTGTCAGCGATGTCACCTCAGTGGAAGTAGGAATGGGACGGTCACCACATGCTAATACCCTGGTGGGCAAAGGACCCCCAAGGAAAATCCAGGGAGACCCGGCCCAGCTACTGCTCACAGGACACCAAGCAGCACCCCCCACGCACACGCACCCCTGCACCCACGCACCCCTGCACGCCCGCACCCCTTTTGTCTCTGCTGGGAGAGGTGCCGCTGGCCTTCCTTGGTGACTCTAACCAAGGCCACAGGGGTCAGGGCCTCTGGCTCAGGCACCACCAGCAGCCTATCAAGGGATATGAAACCCCCAGCTTGGCAGGGCCTGGCCCTCAGGACAGAGCCACTGCCCCTCGGGGTGTGATTCCCGGGCTCTCCAGGACAGGTGAGGGAGAAGCACACTCACCACAGACCTGCCTATGTCTGCCCAGGGCCGAGGGACCCAGACGAAATGGACAAAAGCTCCAGCCCCTGGGAGAAAGACCAACCTCCTCCTCTCTCCAGTGCTTCTTCTCTGAGGGGCAGGACAGCTGTTAACAGGAAACCTTAGCCACCCTCTAAATTTAGTCTCTGGCCCCACGGGCTGGCAGACCCCTGAGAGGAAGGAATGCAGGCCTCGCTTAACTCCTTCCCTCCCGGCTGACTCTCCCGACACTGACATTATCAGCGGATAGGAAGAGGTTCCCTCTTTGTAGGTGGAGAGGTCTAAAGAAAAGGTTTTCTCTGGGCTTTCTCTCCATACCCTCCTGCCTGGGGCTGCTTATTCAAAGTCCATCTGGAAGCTAGTCTAAATCCAAGGATCTAGAAGAATAAACAAACTCACCTCAGCCTCCTCCTGTCGGCTTAGAGAGGGCTAGAAAAAAAAATAACAGAGTTATAGAATGGAGAGGGTCCTCTGAGTGGTAGGTGTTGGGAGAGAACCACAGTGCGAGTAGAGTAGTCATTGCTGGTGACCAGGGTGACATTCCTTTTAACAGACCTGTCTCTGGACAGTAAACTGGGCTGTTGTGTTTGCCCTCCACGTTCCCCACCCCCTCACTCACAGCCCACGGGATGGTCAGTTGGCAACCCCAGGTGGTACAAAGATTCTGCGAGCTTCATAAACTCCAAGTGAGCTCATAACCTACCCTACCCCATTACACCCACCCCCATCACTATGATCAAAGCAAAGCCCAGCACCTCTCATCCCACACATTCTATAATCACCCCTTCCACCCACTTCTCCATCCATCCATTTGTCCACCCACTTACAAATACTTACCGATTACCTGCTACACGTCAGGCACTGTATTTGGCTGAAGGTAGTAAGACACATAGCTCAAAGTTGTCTTTCTTCCCAGCTAGGTGGAACAATGCCTGGCACGTAGTATCACTAGAAACTGGCTGAATGAATGAGCTCACAGTTTATTAGGAGGAATGAGACACAGACCAAAAATAACTCGAGCATAAGGCAGAATGTAGTTAGTGCCCTAAAAGAGACCCAGAGTGCTGCGTGAGTTCAGAGGAGGGAGAGAGCCTTCTGACTGAGGAAGTCGGGAAAGGCTTCGTGGGAGAGATGGTGACGTGTGAGCTGGCTGGCTTTTGAAGGACAAGTTAGATTACAACAAGTAAACACAGATTATTGCAGGGATGGCATGGAAGAAGTTCTGGAGTAAGAAAGTATGTGTTCCAGGTGTAAAAAGATGTCTGACTCGGTCAGCGCATAAGTTTCATATGCTGGAAGGTCATTTCTGGAAGGTAGGCTGTGTTAGCGAGCAAATGCTGGAGTACCGTAAAGGTCAATTTCAGGAGCTGGGTTTCATTTGTTAGGTTCTGCAGAGTCACTGACGGGACCTGAGCAGACAAGCGACATCACCAGGTCTGTGTGTTAGGAAGACTAACGTGGCGATGGCATTATAAGATGTTGGCCTGAAAAATTATTACATGTCCAATAAGGTACCTGAGTGAATTCAACAAGGTACCTGAGAGAATGTTACATATTCAACAAGGTACCTGAGAGAATTCAATAATAAACAGAAAACAACAACGTTTGTATGTCAAGCAAACCTAGTAGCCACAAAGGATTGATGAAATAATTTATGTAGGAAACTCTAAATTCACAATACAAGGAAATAGTGGGGAAGTTATCTGCAATATTTATCGTATCTAAAAGTTAGTTTCCCTAATATACAGAGAGCTGTTATAAATCAATAAGCTAAGACCAAGAGCACAATAAAAATATGGGCAAATGAACTACCTAGTAACACAAAAGGAAATATAAATGATGTACAACTATATAAAAAGATTTTCAATTACACTGCTAATATTTTGAAGTAAATTATATATACATATCATTTCTACTTAGATTGGCAAAGAGCAAAACATTTGATAATTCTGTTATAAATGTTTGATAAATGTATCAGTGTGTTCATGGGGAGATAAGCATTCTCATATGCTGCTAATAGGAGTGTCGGCTGATAAAATCCTTATGGGGGACAGTTTGGCAGTATCTATAAAAGTTATAAATGTGCCTACCCTTTGAGCCATTTCAGAAATTATTCTTTTAAGGATTTATCCTACATATGTAATCACATGTGTGAAATAACATATGCATAATAGATATTAGTTGCAACTCTTTTCATAATTGTGAAAGATGGGGTAAAACATCCTAAAAGTATAGTTCAGTTAAACAAATTATGTCACTCATATATTATCATCCATTAAATAGATGGTGGTAGTACTGTATATATCACCATATATACTGATACTAAAATTGCTTCAAGAGATTTTAAGGGAAAATAGAAAACAAAACCAAATCTCATTGCAGAACAGCATATATGACATACTATCACTTGTGTGTATTCTATCATATATATCTTAACAGAATATCTATGGAAGAAACCAGTAACAGTGGCTGCTCAGGGAGAATCATGTTCTCCACAGCATTTATCATTCTTCAAGTAGGGTGACCAGCATCTCAGTTTGCTTGGGACTGAGGGAGTCCCTTGTGGTTTGAAAACTGAGACGGTGCCAGGAGAACAGAACTGCATTGGTCACACTATCTCCAAGATGATCTTCGTTTACTTGTGAACTCACTACTTTCCCCACCAGATTCTCAACTCTGAGAGCAAGGACTTTGCATCTTCTTTGTGACTGTATCTCTAGCGGGCTGTGGGGTGGGCACTGTGCAAGAGGAGAGAAGTAGAGAAACAGAACATACTGCGTCTTGCTTGAAGTGTTTCGGTAAATGTGGGCAACGCCCTTCTTTTATTGGCTTGGACCCTACCTCTGAGAGCATTTCCTTTTTTATCATGAGGAGACAATTTCCTGCCAGTTAGAAGACAGCACCACACCTTTGTGAGCAGCCCAGGACTTTGCACACCTGCTAACCAGGGAAAGGCAGGGGAGGGGACTGGTTCAAGCGGAAAGTACGGCAGACTCCCCTCGGGACCTTGGTGGAGTAGGTGGAGTGTGAGGCCATCCCACAGGTGAGCTCACCTGCCAGTCTAGCTGAGGGGCAGGGCCTGTGGGCCCTGCTGGGCAGAGGAGGGTGAGAAGAAGAAGAACTGCAGGGACCTCAGGTTGGGCCAGGCCAGAGGCTACTGTAGCTGTAACCAGTCAGCCCAGACCTGCCTGGTGCCTGCCGGTGCCAGGCTGGGTTTGGGGCAGAGAGAAAGCAAGATCATGGCGAAGATGTGGGCTGTGCTGTGCACACTCTGTGCAGGTGAGTAAACCTCTTTTCTGTCCGGCACCCAGGGGTGGGTGAGACGGGGATGGAGGGCGGAGGGAGAAGCTCTCCCAGAGCCTCCCCAGGAAGGGCCCCCAGTGACACAGCTGTGTGTGTCAGGCAGCAGTTTCCAGGCCAGCGCCCAGAATCTGATTGGTTTTTATTTGCATATTAGTAAATAAAATTCCAACCTGTTGCTGGAATAAAGAATTCAAAGTACTCTCAAGACCGTATTTTCTTATCCCAAGTTAGCTTACAGGATCAGACGCAAGGTCCGATGATGGGGACAAAGTATTTGAAATCAGAGTTGTCCCAGAGTGTCCAGGATGTGTGGCTCTAGGGACCTTCACTATCCAGGATTTTAACTGTTGCCTTAAACCCGGACAGAGCGCTGAAATCTGTACCGCATGCGGGGAAACTGAGCAGAGAGACAATGCACCTTGTCCAATGTCATTCAGCCATTCACAGAGCAAGAGAAAGCTCAAACCCTTCAAAAAAAAAAATTTAGAAAGGCCCTTTCCAAAGGCAAAGCTCCTCAGCCCTTCTGGTTCTTTGGTCATTGAAAACTTGGAAGAGGGGGAAATGCTCCTAAATAGAAATCAGACACTCATGAACACATGGTTGAATCAGGTGCGTGATGGCAAAGTTGTCTTGTGGGGGCCTACGGAGCAGGGAAGGGTTGGAATGGGAGCCTTGGCGTTCCGGTGGGTGTCTGGGCACGGGAAGGAGACAAAATGGAGTCAGGGAAGTTGAGAACTGGGGGTTAGGGAAATTTTAGGGGTGTCTTTAGTTCAGCGTGTTTGGCCATCAGCTTGCAATTAAGACTTTGTCACAGGCTTCCAGGATCCAGCAAGAATGAGGAGGAAGTGAAGAGCTGTACCAGGAAACTCAGGAGCCCCAAGTCTAGGGGAGCAGCCCCAGGAGGCTGCAGTTTAGAACTCACTTCTCAGCATGCCCACGCAAGCCCAGAACCGCCTGGCCACAGCTCACAGAGGTTCTCCTAGGCCCCAGGCTCCCCCACCACCCTCATCTCTCAGAGCCTGGCCTTGGGGCCCTCGAGCAGGGTGCAACCTGGTGCTGGGGAGGGGCTGGGTCAAACAGTCTGGAGGTAGATCTAGAAAAGACCATTAGCTGAGGCTGGCCCAGGTTCTGCCAGGAAGTTCATCTGATGAAGGCAGAAGGCCCCTCTTCTTTAGCTTGTTGGTTTTGCCTTGTTGGTTTGTTTCTTCATCTGAACAATTCTTTACTGAGCACATAGTTTGTGCAGGCACCACAGGAATGAGGAGTCTGGAATGATCAGTCATGAGTGAGACCGTCTCGGCCATCAGATCCAGACAGGGAAGATGCTTCCAGGCCTGAGGGAGGGAGGCTGAGAGGAAAAGACCATCCTCCCTGGCCGGGCCAGTGACTTTCTGATCTTGTCCTACTGGGCCAGAAGCCCTCTTCCTGCCATGCACCCCACCCCTCCCGCCCATTGCATAGCCCCACATTTGTAGTCTGGCTGCATCCATGCATGAACAAAAAGAAGTAATTTGGCTTAGGGAAAAAAACCCTCAAAACAGAACAATCACTCAGCTTAGAATGAAAAGTGGCCCTAACTCGGGGTTGCCTGGAGCAGGACATTTTGCTTCACCCTGTGAGAAGGCAGGTGACCCCTGGGTGAACTCACCCAGCAGAACCAGTTCTTGGGCATGTTTTCAGACACACTGATGAAGTGTGTCTTCTGTCTCCACCCCCTTCCCTCCGTCCTCCCAGCCTGCCTGGCCCAGGATCACCACCTTTTGTTCCTCTAGATCTTACACGAAGGGGAAGCAGCCAGAGCAGTGGGGCAGCAGAAGCCAGGCTTGGTGGCCAGCTCGTGGCGCAGGGACAGAGTTTGCCGAGTGGTGAGGTAGCCATTGTCATCTGCAGGTGCACGAGGAAGGCCTTCAAAGAGCAAACCTAAAAGCAGCCAGGCAGCCCTCCCCACAATGGAGGACACCACCTCCTCCTTTGCATAGGGGAGGGCCAGCGAGGAGCAGGGAGGTTAGCAGAGGCTTCCTGGAGGAGGTGGAGCCTGGGTTGGGATCCAGAGCGCCTCCTGGCCTTCACTCTCCTTCCTTTCCCCATCTGGCCTTGCCCAGGAATCGATCGCGCTGAGACCTGGGCAAGGAAACACTGGCTGATGAGACTAGGTCCGAGGACTCAATGGGACTTTGGGGAAGCAGATGATATTACATTGGGTCATTTGGAAGGGGTACAAACACAAGGCACACGGCAAAGAATTTAAAAATAATTATAAAAGTAACTAAAATTGGCCCACTTTTTATTATCACCATGTGCTGACAATTCTAAACAGAGTTGGTGACAAAACACACCTTGCAGCTGGGGACATGCTCCTGCCCCACCATCCCATGCTTGAGGGGGGCTGGCCCCGTGCCTCTTCCTTAGCTGACTGCAATGTGGTCAAATGACCTCACCTTGCTAAACCTCAGTCTGCTGGTCTGAAACAAGAGGGCGATTTGCAATGTGTAAAATGCACATTGCACCTCCTACCGGGTTGTTGTGGGTGTTACATGACTTTGTACATGTAAAGAGCACTCATCAAAGGCCAGTTACTAGTACCATTGTTACTATTAGTGAGGGCAAGTTGAAGTTATAGGAAATTAACTGGGCTTTGGTGACCAATTGTCTGCAAGTTTGTATCTGGCAGACATGTGCCAAGAAGGGAGTCAGTGGTTGGAAGTCATTGTGGTTGGGCCCTAAATTGTCACCAAAAAAGTCACCATGTACCAGGCCCCTCCCAAAGACTGCCAGAGAAAACGCTCCAATGTGCACACAATATCAGGGCTCTTCCACTCTGGGAATTTTTGCAGTCTCCAGACTCGGTGAAAGAGTTGATGTGTTGGAAAGTACAGCTGTGTGAAAAGAGATGCACAAGGAGGAACCCACCGGGAAATCTCCAGGGGAAAAAAGTCACAAAACAGCTCTGCCCAGAGCCATTGAAATCTCTGAAGACCCGATAACACACACACACACACACACACACACACGCACACGCACACGCACACGCACACGCACACACACACACGCACACACACACACCCTACCTTCCTAGAACTAGAGGAAACTGCCTTGTTTTTCTAAATTCTAATTTAAGAAAAACATAGGAAAGTACCACTTTACACAAGAAATAAAGGAATCCATGATCACAAAATAACATACCAGGTGAGAAAAAAATATTTTTTCTTTCTTCCTTCATATATAAAAGTTTCAACCAATCCATCGATGTTTGATCCATGGTGGATTTTTGATAGGAACTAAGTTTCCACATCGCTGGCTTTTTGAGGCTGATCATGCCATTTTAGAATCCTTCCCTGGCATCTCTGATAGAGGCGCAAGACCCAGCAGGAGAATTTTTCCTAAACGTGGTGCCCTATACTCTCCTGCTCTGAAGTGTCATGTTCCTGTTGGTCACACAGGCTTGGGTTGCTCCCTGGGGTCTGCTCCATCAGAGTGGCATGTCTGAGCCCAGTGTCACTTGCGTGTCTAAGTTCTATGTAGTGGCCCGGCCCAGGCTCTGTGGTTTAAGGGGCTCAGCCTCAGATGTGCACGTCTGTTGAGAATCTGGACCGCAAGAGCGTGGCGTTTAGGCCAGAGCCAGGGTGGTGTCAGCCTGCCAGTGCAACTGCAAGACAGCAGCCCACCCTCCATCCGCTCCAATCCCAAGGCCTGGCTCCCAGCTGGGGCCTGGGCAGCACCTGCTGTCACCGTAGCACCAGTCAGAAGCCAGTGCTCATAGGAAGAGCCCAGGCGCCTGGGGAAACTCACACTGCCGCCTGCCAGAGATACAGTCTGGATCAAAACATCCCAGTCCAGGCTCAGTTTCAACCTCAAAGAAATGAATGGTCAGTCTAAGACGGGCACGTGCTCAAAAGGGGAGGAGTGACAGTTTAGGGCAGTGGCTATCAACTCTGACTCCCATGAGAATCATCCAAGGGGTACAAATACTGATGCCCGGGCTCCTCATACCTTCTGAATCAGAATCCAGAGCAGCAGGATCTGAGCTTCTCTCTGATTTTTGAAGAGTTACCCAGGGGGTTGTGATGTGCAGTAGAGGTTTAGAGTTACAAATTAGGGGTTTAGGAAAAGTAGATTTAATGAACGGTTGTCTCGGATACTCTGCATGTGACTTTCAGCTCAGTTCGCTTTGTCCGGCTGCTTCCCTGCATTCCTGTCCATCTCCTGGTTTGGTGCCTCCACTCAGGGGGCCCAACTGCATGAATTCTCACATTTTAGTGTGCAGACAAGCCACCTGGGGCCCCCACTGAAGTGCAGACTGATTCGGGAGTGTCTGGGTAGAGCCTGAGAGTCTGCATTTCTAATGAGCTCCCAAGTGAAGATACTCCTGGTCCAGGGACTACGATTTGAGAAGCAGGGCCCTAGGGAAGAATGGGTTCGTGGGCACAGGTGTGATCCTCATCTTGCCTTTGTCCTCCAGAGTGCCAGCACAGGGCTTCTTGGCAACCCAGCCACACTGCTTACTGTGATGCTGGTCACCAGGAGGCCGGGGGGAAAGTGTGCCTGGCCCAGCATGTGCTTGTTCTCCTGGCAGCGTTTGACCCCACTCGATGCCCCCTCCTTCCTGAGACACTCTGTTCTGTTGGCTCCCATGATACGTCTTCCCTGTTCTCCTACATCACTGGCCCTGGCCTTTTCATGTCTCCTTTGCAGCTTCCTCCTCCTCTGCCCTACCATAAAATGTCAGAGCCCCCACGCTCGGTCCTAGGGTCTCTTCTATTGTCACTCTACATGCAGGTCCACACCCAGAGCTTTAGTGGCCGCCCATTCCCAGCTGACTCATAAATTTCTATCTTCAAGCCCAGCCTCTCTCCTGAGCCATAGTTCTAGGAGTCCAACGCCCACATGATTTCTCCACTTAGAAATCTCAAAACACCGCAAACTTAACAAGCTGAAAGCCAAATTTGTGATCTTTGTCCCCAAACCTGGGTCCTTCC